TATATATATATATAGAGTCTTGTCGATTCTTAAGGAGGTGCAAAAGCGGAAAGGGAGCAATCAGAGAAATGTACAAAGGGAAAGGGTTATTCTGTCTTATTTTTATGTTGGTAAATTGATACATGTATAAAGATTAAAAAATAAAAAAACAGTCCAAAAAAGAAAACGAACAATAAGTGGGGAAAAGTCAAAAGCATGTGCATTCATATTTGAAAATTCACGAAATATGATTGTTTGTCTTTTGCTGTTTTACATGAAATTAAGGTAGTGTTTAGATATAAATTTGGTTGAATTTTTAAAAATTAAGTTTTTAAAGATGAGATAAAAATGATGTTTGAAAATTAAAAATGTATTTGAACATACATTTTACCTGAAAAGAATTTGAAGTTTTGTAAATTTTCAAAAACTACTCTAGAGCTATTTTTGGGATTTGAAGATTTTGTTTTTAAAATCTGCCAAAAAATGATTAAAATCTATAAACAAACAGATGTTTGAAAATAAAATTTAAAAAAAAGAACTCATTTATGGCCAAACTAGAGCTAAATAAAAGCTCTCATTAGTTGTTACTGTTATTATCTTGACAGGATACAAAACCTTTTGTTTTTCTGATTTTCTAAAATCAATTCAGAATAATAAGTGATCATTTCACTTTATCTTTTTTGTATTTGGTTAGTGTCAATGTGTAGATTTGTTCTTCCTAAAATGTACTTATTAATACATTTTACGTCCTATTTTGTTATTTAGTTGGGCGTGAAATTTAAGAAAGAAGGAAACACCTTTTAATATATGTGATCTAAGACAAGTACAATAGACATTTATATAATTAAATCATATAATTAAGAGTAAAATAAAAAGTTAAAAGTTAATTTATTTATAATAGATAAAAAAAATATTATTATTTTTAAACAAATTAAAAAGAGAAAAGGTGTCATACAAATTGGGAGTCTAGGACAAAGAGAGTAGTTGATAACAATATCAGCAAATTGAAGAATGGCTATTAGAGGTCCGAAAAATCTCTAGAAAAATTCCATCAATTACGTTCCATTCTTACTGTATTTTCAGTGTATTCTCTTCGATTTATCACTGTAAATTAAGCTTACCTTTCCAATTTTGCAATTGTAAAACCTTTGACCTGGGTTATGATCAGTCAATGATATCTTGAAGTTTGCTAATTGACCGCAATTGCAGTATACAACATCAGTGGGAGGTGCCTTCGACGAACTCGACGATAAAACTGCTTTGACGAAGAAAAGAGGCAAGAATTAGAAAGAAATTCAGAAGAATTACAAAAAACGAAGAAGAATTGGAAAGAAACGAAGAAGAATTGGAAACAAGAAGATGTCTCTCGACCTAATTTGGAAGCAATTAGGGCGGAACTAAAAGAAAGAGAATGAAATTAGGGTTTATATAAAATTGGGTAGGTCTAAATAGGTATATATTTATTTTGTTTTTTTAAAATATTATCGTTAGAGTCCCCGTGTAATAACATTCACACGCTCAAATGTTGTGCGATCCACGTTATGTGCCAAGTCAGCTAGTTGTACCTAATATGTATGGTTATGAACATAATATTATGTTCAATTGGAACAAAGCTAAATCAAGTGTCTAAATGAGATTTTCTGGCAACTTTAAGGGTCTGTATATGTATTTGGCCTTTTAGTTATTTAGAAAAAGTGATGAAAATGGAGGAGAAAGGGATAAGATGTTGGGTTAAGGTTAAAAAACTTCAGTGGCTTGATCCAATAAACTGGTACGAGTTTAAATCTGGGCGGGTTATATTTGATATGGACAAGGGAGCCATGTTGCCCAATTACGTGCTGTCAATACATTAAAAAAGGGACTATAGAAATTTCTATTAGTCGCAGGGGTATTTTTAGTCTGAAAGATAACATCGAGTGTATTTTTGGACCAAAAGATGGATGGAGCTTCGAAATAAACCATTTACCAAACGATAGGGGTGTTTTTGGCCATTTTCCTTTTTACTATTGATAAACGATATCTTTCTTCAAAAATATTTTAGGATAATCAATCATCATTTAACGTCTTTGTTTAGTCTTCATCATATATTATATAATAAAGCACTTTTTGAATATTATGTATTGTGCATTTGGAAGAAAGCCCCAGAGTAACGGTAAAAGTTATTTTTGTGTGATCTATATGTTACGAGTTCGAGCCGTGAAAGCAACCACTAATGCTTGTATTAGGGTAGGTTGTCTACATAACATCCCTTGGATGCGGCCCTTCCTCGAATGCAAGCATTAATGGCTGCTTCTACAGCTCGAACTCGTGACCTATAGGTCACAGAGAGATAATTCTAGAGTAAGCTGTCTACATCACATCTCTCGGGTTGTGACCTGTCCAAGACTCTATTTAAATGTGGAATGCCTTGTGCACTGCCTGTCCGTTTCTCGTTTTATTAATTGATTTTACTATGATGCATATTCTATTATCTTCATCTCATTGTCCATGTTATGTTAAAATGGAGACAATAAATGTGTATGGAGCTATGCAAGAACTTTGAAGAAAATACGAAATGATATAAGATTGAATCCTTGGCAGCACATTGATTACGCCCATCCATCTCGAAGTGGGCACAATTATAAAAAAGGAAAAGAAAGAAAAAGAAAATGTGTAGTTTTTTTTTTTAGCTAAAGAAGAAAATGTGTAGCTTAACGATAAATGAAGATGACATATATGATGAAAAGTTAGGAGAGATTCTTATATATGTAGACCTTAATGGAAAGAGACACAAAGCTAGAGGCAAACTCACCATTAAATTTGACGGATCAACCCCTAAAGCTAATGATAATAAATTTATTATACTTTTAAATTATCAATTTAAGATTTAATCTTATTTTCAAAATTTTAAATATATGTGTGTCTACGCGCGCGTTTTAATTCAATTGAAATCATGAATAAAAAAATTCCAATCACCTTGGATAGAGTTATCCTAATTTTGTTGAGGTCCGTATAAGCTTATTCAGATATTACCATTAGAAGATTATACAAAAATAACCACTAGTTAGTTAAAATTCATTTCTAGAAGTTGTTTTTTAAAGTTAAAGCACGATAATCATTTTCAGACATAAAAAAATATTTTATGTGACATAAAAGAAAAAATATACTACTAATTCATGGTTGGAAGGCTTTATCTCCTTGTAGATAAAGCTATCCAATACGTGTTTATGAGATGTAACGAGTATCCGATAATTTCATTCTTATTAGATAAGCATAAATTTTTATAGACACCACCTCAAGAAAAACCAAAATACAAACTAATTTTTTTCTTGTCAAAGTCGTAGGATATTTAATTTTTGAAACACATAAAAAATTTACTACGTATTTAATTTTATGTAAAAGAAAAGTGAAAAATTACTAAAGATAGAAATTTGAAAAAGGCTAATAGAGACAGAAGAAGAGACAGGAGAGAGAGAGAGAGAGAGGATTGCAGGAGAGAAAAGCCTCTGCAAAAGAGCTTTTTGACTCTCTCTCTTCTGCCCATGGCCGATTTTTTTCATGATTTCTTCCTATCTTTTTCCCTTTTTTTCTTCTTTTCTACATTTTAGCTTTTCTTTTTTGGCCTATAATATCAATACACAAACACAATTGTACAGAGGAAAAAATCAACATTTTTCAGGTGGGTTTCTCCTTTTATTTTTTGTAGTTATTTTTATTATAGTTTTTTGCTGCATTTCATTGTTCTTTAAGCTTCATTGCTTTCTGGGGTTCCTCTATAATTAGCTTTCTTATATTTTTTAATGGATTGATTAATTTCCAAAATTCTTGGAGATTTTTTCCCCTGAATTCATGTTTCTTATTGTTTCTTGAAATTGATCAATTTATTAAAACCCATAATTCAGAGGAAAAAGTTCAGCATTTTTCAGGTGGGGTTCCTTTTTTTTTTCCTTATTTAATTTTTGTTGCATTTTACTGTTCTTAAGCTTTATATTTTTCTGGGTTTCCTCTGTATTTAGCTTCTTCTTTTTTTTTTTTTAAAAAATATTTTTAATACATCGATTAATTTCCAAGATTCTTGGAGATCTTTTCCTTGAATTCATGCTTCTTATTTCCGTGAAATCCTTGAACCATTTGATTATATAGCTTGGATTTGATTGTTGTTTATTGTTTTCATGGAAGAAATATCATATTTAATTGATGGTTATTTCAAGAATCATTTATTTAAAAAATAGTTATTTTAAGAATCAGCCTTTTTAGCTTTATCATATTTTCAGGATTTTTCTCCCTAATATAGAGGAAAAAGCAACATTTTTGAGGTGGGGTTTTGGCTTTTCTGCTGCATTTCATTGTTCTTAAAGCTTCATAGTTTCTGATATTTTTTTCATTTATTACCCATTTTTCCTATTTTTTTTAATTGTTTTCTGGAATGAAAATTAATACTTAGCTTTTCTCAGAATCGGAATAATTTCCACTCTTGGAGATCTCCTATTCTTGAAATCTTTGAAAATTTTGAATTTTTGCTGTTTTTATTGGCAGAAGTATCATATTTAATTTACTACTCATTTCAAGCATTCTTTGTAAAAACAGAAGTTATTTCAAAAATCAATTTTTGATCTGTATTTGATATTTTTCAGGAGTTGATCTTGTAAAGCATCATGGGTAATTGCTGTGTGAAACCCGGCAAATCTGCTGAAAAAAAGAAGAACAAAAAGAGCAAACCAAACCCCTTTTCAATTGATTATGGGGCATCTGGGGGTGGAGTTAAGCTTGTTGTATTGAAAGAACCAACAGGACAGAACATACACGACAAGTATGATTTGGGTCGTGAGCTCGGAAGAGGAGAATTCGGGGTTACTTACCTATGCACTGAAGTGGACACAGGCGATAAATACGCCTGCAAATCGATATCCAAAAAGAAGTTAAGGACTGCAGTGGATATCGATGATGTTAGGAGAGAGGTTGAGATCATGAAGCATTTGCCTAAGCATCCTAATATTGTGACTTTGAAGGATACATATGAGGATGATAATGCAGTGCACATTGTGATGGAACTGTGTGAGGGTGGTGAGTTGTTTGACCGTATCGTAGCTAGAGGTCACTATACCGAGAGGGCAGCAGCTGGAATTTTGAGGACTGTCGTTGAAGTTGTTCAGGTATAGTTTTTATCAGCTTCTTAGTCCCTAATAGATGCCATTTGGTTTTTATGTATCATGGAAGTTCCCTTACACCCGAATTGTAATGAGAAGAGGCTATCTTTTGTTCTAACTTCTAACTCTTTTAAGTGGAAGCGTTACTTGTTTTCAAGGAGTATTAGCTAGTGGCCTACCACAGAATTTGGTTGTTGCAAACAAAGTTTGGAAAAACTGTACTTTTTAGGGAAATGATAATGGAAATCAATTTTAGTTTGTATGCTGAAGTAAATGTGGTCGGCTTTTCTGAAACAACTATTAATTTGGCCTTCCCTGCATGACATTATGAAATACTTATATATTGGTAGGAATCTTATTTCATATGTAAATCATGAATCTGTCTTGTAAAGGATTGCCCAATGCACTGATTTTCAATGAGCAAGGCAGAAGTTGTAATTTTCTCTTAAAGGGTGGAAATGATTAAGTTTATGGTCAAGTTTTGCTCTCTGGTTTTAGTATGTCAATAATCAATTTATAAAATTCCAATGGTATTGCAGATGTGTCACAGGCATGGGGTTATTCATCGTGATCTCAAACCCGAGAACTTTCTTTTTGGTAACAAGAAAGAAACAGCTCCACTGAAAGCAATTGACTTTGGGTTGTCGGTTTTCTTTAAACCTGGTAATGGAATTAGTAATGAAACAGTCAGTTGAGCCCTTTTATCATGCTCAAAAAAGATTAAACACTTGGAATAATCTTTATTTCTTTAACAGGGGAACACTTTAATGAGATAGTGGGAAGTCCTTATTACATGGCTCCAGAGGTTCTAAAGCGTAATTATGGACCAGAGGTTGACGTCTGGAGTGCTGGAGTTATACTCTACATTCTTCTTTGTGGTGTTCCACCCTTCTGGGCAGGTCTGCTTCTTTTATTGCTTCATTTGTATAATCATTAAAAAACGTAGATGCAGATATTTTCGGCTTCACAATTTGTTAACATTTTCTTGATACTTTTAAGTTCCTTTTCATATTTATAGAGACTGAACAAGGAGTAGCCCAAGCAATTATTCGTTCTGTGATTGATTTCAAGAGGGATCCATGGCCTAAAGTTTCTGATAATGCAAAGGATCTTGTAAAGAAAATGCTTGATCCAGATCCAACTCGACGTCTCACAGCTGAGCGAGTTCTTGGTAATGTTTGTGGATCATTGAGATACTTTAGTTCATTCATCTGTTCTGTCTCTCTCTAAATGTCTTTTTTGGCGGCTTTGACTCATGTGGATGCAGAGCATCCCTGGTTACAAAATATAAAGAAAGCACCAAACGTCTCATTGGGCGAGACTGTAAAAGCAAGGCTCAAGCAGTTTTCAGTGATGAACAAGCTCAAGAAAAAAGCTCTAACGGTAAATATAAACAATCATATCTGTAAGCTCCGGATTCTCCACTGTCCAATAAAAGATGTATTCACATGCTTGTGCTACTTTATAATAGTTTATAAGGAGAGAAGATTGTCAGACTATTTATTGCACTTGCCTTGTGCTACTTTATAATAATTTTAATTCTCATCATAAAAAAGGAGAGAGAAGATCCTGTCCTTTGACCAAGTTTCGTTTTTTTTTATTTCCATGATGTCTTTACTTTCTTGTGTTTCATGCACAGGTTATAGCTGAGTTTTTGTCTGCGGAGGAAGTGGCGGGAATGAGGGACGCATTTGAAATGATGGATACTGGAAAGAAGGGCCAGGTAAACCTTGGAGAACTTAAAGATGGTTTGCAGAAGCTTGGCCATCAGACCTCTGATGTTGATCTTCAGATTCTCATGGAAGCTGTAAGCATTCTCATGCCCTGTTTCTTGGCTCTATTTGATTCTCTTATAGCTCTACCAGGGGGTAACAAAAGATTGAAAGTTAGCTGCTAATAGTATGGCCTGCTGCACCGTTGGGCTCTCTTTGAACTTTCTGCCTCAAGGAGAAGGCAGGTGTCTGAGATGATATGGCCATGTCCTATGTAGTCCTCCAAATGCGCGGATCCACAGTGCAACTAGTTGGATTATGGCTAAGATGTTGGTGGTACACTTACACCGGTCCAATGTTTGGCAAGAGTCTTTTTAGTTAGGTTAGCGACTTGTATGTCGATGAAAGCTAAGTATGAAATCTAGAGAACCTCTAGTTTTAAAAAATTCTTAATGTGTATCCATGGAGAGAAAGGGAGCCTTGGCGTAACTGGTTAGTTGCTGCCATGTGACCAGGAGGTCACTGGTTCGAGCCGGGGAAACAACCTCTTGCAGAAATGCAGGGTAAGACTGCTTACAACAGACCCTTGTGGTCCAGCCCTTCCCTGGACCCCGCGCATAGCGGGAGCTTAGTGCACCGGGCTGCCCTTTGTATCCATGGAGAGAAAGGGAGCCTTGGCGTAACTGGTTAGTTGCTGCCATGTGACCAGGAGGTCACTGGTTCGAGCCGGGGAAACAACCTCTTGCAGAAATGCAGGGTAAGACTGCTTACAACAGACCCTTGTGGTCCAGCCCTTCCCTGGACCCCGCGCATAGCGGGAGCTTAGTGCACCGGGCTGCCCTTTGTATCCATGGAGAGTGGAAAGATGTGAGTACTTATATAGCTAGCGGACACCTCTAGTTTGGGATGTAGTCGTAGTTGTTGAAGAGAAGTCCACACTACACTTATGTCCTTGATCCTGATATCAGGATTTTGATTAATTGCGAAGCATACTTGGTCAATGTAAGTTGTAATGGTGTACATCTACCTGATGATTGTTTCAGTGCAGAAAAATCTATAGCAAAAGGATCTTGACATTTTGCTTGCGTTGGAAACCTGAATTCGGTGCTTATTATTTTCAGAGAAAACTTTTTTGTGCTTTTAGATTCTTTTTGGCTCTTTGACCAGCCGAATGCTTATTCTTTTTATCATTTATTTTATTTCAAATATTTGTTTTCTTATGTTTTTATCTCCTGTATTGGTTTTACAGGCCGATGTTGATGGAGATGGAAGTTTAAATTATGCAGAGTTCGTTGCTGTATCTGTTCATCTTAGAAAGATGGCTAATGATGAACACCTGCACAAAGCATTTTCATTTTTCGACAAAAACCAAAGTGGTTACATAGAAATCGAAGAGCTGCGTTGTGCCTTAAGTGATGAGGACGACAACACTAGTGAGGAAGTCATCAATGCCATTATGCATGATGTTGACACGGATAAGGTCAGTATCTGTGTCTGTTTATGTGCACTTACTATCAAATTGTCCTTGAAAGTTCTTCCTTTGCTATCAAATTGTCGTTAAAAGTTTTTCATTGTCTTTGCCGATTTGTTTAAAGTTTATTCTTTCATTTCTAACAACATGCCTTGAAGTACAACAACAACAACCCATTGTAATCCCACAAAATCCCACAAGTGGGGTCTGGGGAGGGTAGGATGTACATAGCCTTACCCCTACTCTGGACGGACAGAGACACTGTTTTTGATAGACTCTCGTTAATAACAACATGCCTTGAAGTATATGTCAAATATCCGACTTGTTTGCACTAGCTTGTCGCGGAGTTTGGGAGCTCAGCTGTGTCTCATTTTGTCATAATGCAGGATGGTCGAATTAGTTATGAGGAATTTGCTGCGATGATGAAGGCTGGTACGGATTGGAGAAAAGCATCGCGACAGTATTCTCGTGAACGGTTTAACAGCCTCAGCTTAAAATTGATGAGGGAGGGCTCGTTACAACTTGAAAACAAAGCCTAGGATGAACAAATCCAAAAGAAAGAAATGTTAAGAGGAAAAAGGAAAAATTTTCACTAATAGATATCTGCCTCTTTTTTCTTTTTTTTTTTTTTTTTTTATCTGCCATCTAAAATCCATCTTAGGCATATCAACTTGTAACTATTAGCCAAGCTTTAGGACTGTTTATTCCATTATATTTAAATGTATGAATAGCTTTATTTACTTGTAAATATATTGTCACCACCCAATTTAGGCTCATGACCGGCACTCAGGAGCAAGTGCCCAAAGTAAGCCTCTTCGGTATTTTACAGAAAATCGGACAGAGCTTCCTCTGTTTTTGGACTATCCCAAAAATTTCACAGTCTCAAATCAACAACCAAACGTCCTAATATCATACCAACAATTGACAACCAATCAATCAACCAAAACGAGTCTCCACCATTACTAGTTAACCCACTAGCAAACAGAAATACTAATTTATCTCCAACCTTGATAATAAAGAACGATACTCAACATAAGATTATAATAACAAAATAATACTCATGATACTAAAAGATTAACCATGGAGCGACTCTAAGAGTTCAAAGAAAGACCAAGAAAATAAATAAAATCTCCGTCCACGCGAACAAGTGCGAGGCTCACCGAGAACTATCAACATGTGCGCTTTAATTAACGAAATCCTCGCATGCGTCAGCTGCTGTCTCTATAAAAAAAATTAGCCGGGAATGAGTTGCTAGCTCAGTGAGTAATAACACTTAACCACAACCGTTTTTATTTGGGGACAAGTCAAAAAACATGCTAGTATCTCAAACAGAAAATAACACAAAATAAATGCCCTTTCAGAAACAATAAAAAAAAATTCAGTCTCATCACGTTTTTCTTGTAATAAAATATAATTAACAATTCAGTAATAAGCTCGGTAACCACTATATAATATCAGTATTCACATTTTGGGAGGTTTCAATGAACGGATCATGTAATCGGTATAACTGTGGACTTCTTTGCAAGAAGTCATATATAACGGTAGTTCCTACTCGAGGGAAATCGGTAACGGTATGCTAGTTCTACCTTCCCACTAGCGAGGGCTATAACGGTAATCAGTAATTACAAGGTGCACCAGGTCTAACGAACCCGCCGTTAGCTACGAGATCCTTCAATGTCTACTCCCATTTATACTTGTCTCTGTAATCCGTATATACTCGTAGAAACTATTTTAAAACAATATATTACATTTCGGTTCTTATCAAATCATATAATTTCCTTTCGATAACAGTAAATTCAAGTAACGGTAAAACAAATCTAGTGACAACGAAAATATTTAAAACCACGATATTCATCTCAAATAACTATTTCGGTATCATATCGAGTAAAAGACTTGCCCCACATGCAACTTAAATTAATCGGTAACATATTCATATTAAAAATCATGCGTAAATCATTATAAAAACACAAATTGCAGTAAAATTACTGTCACACCTCCTTTTTGCGCACCTACCCCGAGGGATAAATGCGCGAGGGAGTTTTTCCAATTTAAGTGACAATATTCGAAATGAGATTATTTATTTAATTCAGAGTCGCCACTTGGGAAAGGTTTGGCTTTTGGTGTCCCAAGTCACCGGTTTATCTTGAATCCCAAATCGAGGAAAATTT